CCCCTGCTGCCCCCCCTCGTACCTCCGCTGCTGCCAGGTTGCTTCTGTGCTGCCCGTTTCTCCTCTTGCTCGCCTCCCGTTCCGCCTCTGCCACTCCCTCCGCGCCTCCGCTACATTTAGAGCCTGGTAGCCGTACCCAGCCTGCTATTATATATTTCAAATTGCAATAGCCAATAGCAGGCTGGCTATTGCACCCGCCCACTGCCTGCTGTCAATCGACAGAGGAGGACGTGATGGAAGACTTTTTCCTTCAGGTCCCTCCTCTGCTGATTTGAAGGGGAGGGCGGAGGTCAGATAGAAGACTGAAGGGGAGGGCGGAGGTCAGATAGAAGACTGAAGGGAAGGACGGAGGTCAGATAGAAGACTGAAGGGAAGGACGGAGGTCAGATAGAAGACTGAAGGGAAGGACGGAGGTCAGATAGAAGACTGAAGGGAAGGACGGAGGTCAGATAGAAGACTGAAGGGAAGGACCGAGGTCAGATAGAAGACTGAAGGGAAGGACGGAGGTCAGATAGAAGACTGAAGGGAAGGACGGAGGTCAGATAGAAGACTGAAGGGAAGGACGGAGGTCAGATAGAAGACTGAAGGGAAGGACGGAGGTCAGATAGAAGACTGAAGGGAAGGACGGAGGTCAGATAGAAGACTGAAGGGAAGGACGGAGGTCAGATAGAAGACTGAAGGGAAGGACGGAGGTCAGATAGAAGACTGAAGGGAAGGACGGAGGTCAGATAGAAGACTGAAGGGAAGGACGGAGGTCAGATAGAAGACTGAAGGGAAGGACGGAGGTCAGATAGAAGACTGAAGGGAAGGACGGAGGTCAGATAGAAGACTGAAGGGAAGGACGGAGGTCAGATAGAAGACTGAAGGGAAGGACGGAGGTCAGATAGAAGACTGAAGGGAAGGACGGAGGTCAGATAGAAGACTGAAGGGAAGGACGGAGGTCAGATAGAAGACTGAAGGGAAGGACGGAGGTCAGATAGAAGACTGAAGGGAAGGACGGAGGTCAGATAGAAGACTGAAGGGAAGGACGGAGGTCAGATAGAAGACTGAAGGGAAGGACGGAGGTCAGATAGAAGACTGAAGGGAAGGACGGAGGTCAGATAGAAGACTGAAGGGAAGGACGGAGGTCAGATAGAAGACTGAAGGGAAGGACGGAGGTCAGATAGAAGACTGAAGGGAAGGACGGAGGTCAGATAGAAGACTGAAGGGAAGGACGGAGGTCAGATAGAAGACTGAAGGGAAGGACGGAGGTCAGATAGAAGACTGAAGGGAAGGACGGAGGTCAGATAGAAGACTGAAGGGAAGGACGGAGGTCAGATAGAAGACTGAAGGGAAGGACGGAGGTCAGATAGAAGACTGAAGGGAAGGACGGAGGTCAGATAGAAGACTGAAGGGAAGGACGGAGGTCAGATAGAAGACTGAAGGGAAGGACGGAGGTCAGATAGAAGACTGAAGGGAAGGACGGAGGTCAGATAGAAGACTGAAGGGAAGGACGGAGGTCAGATAGAAGACTGAAGGGAAGGACGGAGGTCAGATAGAAGACTGAAGGGAAGGACGGAGGTCAGATAGAAGACTGAAGGGAAGGACGGAGGTCAGATAGAAGACTGAAGGGAAGGACGGAGGTCAGATAGAAGACTGAAGGGAAGGACGGAGGTCAGATAGAAGACTGAAGGGAAGGACGGAGGTCAGATAGAAGACTGAAGGGAAGGACGGAGGTCAGATAGAAGACTGAAGGGAAGGACGGAGGTCAGATAGAAGACTGAAGGGAAGGACGGAGGTCAGATAGAAGACTGAAGGGAAGGACGGAGGTCAGATAGAAGACTGAAGGGAAGGACGGAGGTCAGATAGAAGACTGAAGGGAAGGACGGAGGTCAGATAGAAGACTGAAGGGGAGGACGGAGGTCAGATAGAAGACTGAAGGGAAGGACGGAGGTCAGATAGAAGACTGAAGGGGAGGACGGAGGTCAGATACAAGACTGAAGGGGAGGACGGAGGTCAGTGTTCAGCAAATTGTCATGGTTCTGATCATGTAATTGCTGCCACAGTGATCACATGACCAGGGCGCATGCCTTGACATCTCCTGATCATCGCCAGGTATCCGGGAACTGTCATAATGCGTAAATGAGCGCGCTCCTGACACAATACGGCAGCGCTGCGCGTCGTTAAATCTGACCGCCGTCCAGTAATAGAAGAAAATTCAATATAAAAAAACCCCCAAAACGCAGTTCTATACGGAACGCGGTGGGAGCGCGGCGGCGTGTGGCGGTATTGATGGTCGATAATGTTTCGCGGCCTCCATTATGTAATTCTCCCGCCGGTGAGATATCGACGTTCTGTTTGAACAGAAGCGCCGCTGCTGGGAAGAGCGATGCCGGCCGGTGATTGATGTCTCTTCACGATGACAGGCCGGCGGGATCAGCGGGAAGGAGAAGCGAGCGAAGAATTGCGCGGTCACACGGACGCGGTTATATAACTCAACCTCACGGCAC